ACCGATATTTAGAGGAAACACTTAATCGAAAATAATCACATACTGCCACACGAAAATTACACTTCTTTAAACAAATCAATGACGGAGGTTAATTGATAGTGTGTGTGGGGTTTATTAATGATCGATATATTTAGAATATATCATTAACATTTTTATTAATTTACATAATTTAGTCGACAACATTCACTTTAAACACCCTTAAAAATGATCTCTAGGAATGTCCCTAATTTTAAACTGCAAAATATTGAAAGAAAAAATAAAATTGTATTTTATCTTTATTTCAATACCGTAATCGAGAAAAAATTGGATAGCCTCACTAATAATATTCTAAATAAAATGCGAGTAGATGCAGAAAAAAATTATTAGATATCAAAAAAAAAAAAGTATAAATAGTGACAGTGCGACTGCTTATTCTAAAAACACTTGGTTTAGAACACTTGTCTTATCTAACGGGTTTCGCTAGGGATTAACCTTAACACAGGCTCAAGTCTTAGCAAATAAAAATACATTAATATATCTTAGTCAAACATGCTATTGTCAAAATAAGCCTTAACTGTGGCGAATGGCTTGCCAACAGTCGCGGTTTTTAAAGATTTCATTCATACGATTACTTGTGCTGTATGAGTTATTTTAATTTTGGGACATTACACGTGATTTTATAACATAACATTTCCCAATATATTCTTCATAATATAAATAAGATAAGTCAACCCAGATTAATAAACAAATGACCCTTATATGAGAAATAATTACTATGGAATAATTACACTTTTAAAAAATTATAAATAGTTCGAACATAAAAAGACAACTCTAGAAATTTGATAAAAAAAAAAAGTATTATTATATTAGTAATATTTCTGGTATATTTAATTATTTGATAGTTCATTAATTTGAAAAATAGTCATCCAGTTGAGTAAACAAAACTATATTTGATAATATATATGCGTCAATACAAAACAAATATAAAATAATTAAAACAACTTTATTTATAATAATTTTAGTCTAATCAAAGTTCTCAAAGATATTAAAATTGCGACGCATAAATATCGAAAAAATGTTGAACATTTCATCTTTATTTTTATCTACAATTTTTATACTATTTTTCTACGTTGATCATATTCAATTATTCGAAAACATGGAATATTTGAAAAATGAATATGTAAAAGCACAAATGTTAGGCAACCGGAATGATGAATATAAAATTGGCATTTCATTAAAGATAATTCTGAGATCGCTTAATGAAAATCAAAGTATAGATGAAGATGAAAAGAGGACGTTGCTTTGCCTTTACTATAAAGATGCCATGGTGTACCGATCATTGAAATATGTGTATGCATTGGCCTTTTATGGTTACTTAACAGCTGGACAAAAAAATCAAGATAAATCTATTGAAAAAGTTAGTAACGCAGTATATACTATAAGTAATTATTTTTATTTCATGGATTTAGAAAATGAAGTTCTAGAAAACATTAGAAATATTTTAAAGAATTTCAATCATTTATTGAAAGAACAAAATTCTGGTCCACATTTTGGAATCATACCCAAGGTTTTCAATAATATCATAAAAATGATAAATTGTTATTTCAAAGGAGAAAAAATTTTGCAATATAAAACTAATAAAACTATATTAAGAAACAACCACGAAAAATGTTGGCTTATATTTAAATCTGTAATAAGTAAAAATTTAGAAAACGAATATTATCCTCCAACAAAAATTAAACACAAAAATAAGGAAATAATTGAAGCCATGAACATTCTTACTACTAACTTAGTAGAAGAATATAAAATAAAAATTAATGCTCATGGAAATAACGAATAGGAATGTAAAATAAATAATTTTATACTGTGAGTTTAAGTTATAAAATTATTCAATAAAGAATATTAAAAAAAAAAAGTATATTATTCATTTACACATGTTTTTGTGACAATTTTAGTATATTAAAATTAATTCTCTCAGAGTATTTTTATTATACTATTTTTAATGTCGAATATCCATGATGTATTATATATTCAAAATTATATTACATTAACAAAAAATTAAAAATAACCAAATATTATTTTTAATTTAAATTGTGTCCGTATGCTTAAAACTTTACTAATTAATAATAAACATACTAACTTAAATATGAAACTTCTAATGTATAAATCCCTTATTAAACCCATTTGGACCTATGGTCTCCAACTATGAGGAAATGCTAAAAAATCAAATATAAATCGTATTCAGGCATTTCAAAATATTTCTTTAAGAAAATTAACTAACTCCCCTCCATACGTATCAAACTATACCCTCCATTTTGATCTAAAAATTAAAACTGTTAATGAAGAAGCAATAACATATTATAAAAGATTCCACACTTGACTAGCCTCCCACTCCAATTCCCTAATAAAAAGTCTTTCAACTAATGTTATTCCTGGTAATCTTCCGAGACTCTTAAAGCGCAACTGGTGTAGAGATATATTAACTTAACTTTAGTTAAAAAAAGAAAAAAAGAAATAAATAATCACTTAAAAGTGTCATCTATGGCTCCTTTTATCAAGTATTTCATGTTATAATTATTTTAGCTAATACTCTTATTGTACCTATAGGGAACAGATTGTTAATTTTGAAGTTAAATTGTGTCAAAAAATATATGAATAATTTTTCTTTAGACCACAAAAATCGTATTTTAATTAAAATTTTGAAACAAAAGAACATAACTTCAAGATTATTTAAAAAAAAAGCACTGTGGGGTCGCGGAATAATGGGAATGTGGCATAGTTGGGTCCAGTATAGATAATATCTGACAGTGATTAAAATAATTATAATAAAAAACGCTTCGATCCGTCGGTTTTAATTTCAAATATAAAAAAATTCATTTAAAGTAAATAGTAATTTTTGAATAAACATTTAATATATACTCAACATTTTTTCTTATATATTAATTATTTGGATTACTATTACTCAATTCTAAGATCAATACACCTAAATATGAACCCCTTTTTTGAAGATGTAATGATGTTGCACACATTCTAAACCACAAGTATTATATTCGTTAAAAGTAAACAGAAAACTGATTTAGGACTTGGTTAAATTTTAATTGGGGGCTATTATATTCAAAGATTATATATAGAGGCATTGAATATATGCTCTGAAGGCTATTGCTTGGAGAGTAAACAATATTGCTGTACTACAATGCAAAAGTATATAATACAAAGCATGTTTGTTCAGGAGTAGGGTAAAACAGCACGTGTATTTTGAATTATTAAAATAAAAAACTATTTTTAAGATGACATGAACTTGAAAAATGAAAATTTAAAAAATTAAGAACTTTTAATGACTTTAACAACTGTTTAGTTATTTACATAGAACTTAAAAAGACTATTTCGCTTAATTGATATTTGATGATTTTTTTTTTATTTTTAACACCATTTCCGTACAATTGTATAACAAATTATATGTATGTAATTTTTTTGTGCTATATTTTATACTTATTTTAGGTAAAAAATTAATTGATATACATATGTATGTATGCATCAATCTATAGCACTATGAGTATTATAAATTAACAAGTACTTAGGGTTATTTAGCTTAAAATTCATTATTAATTTAGTTATTTTATACCTTTTAAAAAAGGTATAAATATTCAAAATTTGATCAAATATCAAAAACATATAATCTATATAAAAAGACAAAACAGAAACAAAATTATTGTAAGGGTTTAGCAATTGTTACGTATGCTACATATAACTCTCATACGTATATTGTATGTCATAATCATAATATTGTTCATATAGTCACATTTCTTATACAGGATTTGATATCCATCAAATGTTTCGTGCTGTCAAGGGAAAGCAGGAAAACGTTTTTCAACAATAAAAAAATGACAAGGGGTAAGAGCAGAACCGGAGACACTCACACACTGACTAACAAATACATGCATAGGAAAGAAAAGAAATGCCAAAGCTTACAAACACATAATGCTAATATCGTTTGTCTTGAATACCGTCACCATCATTTCTGATATATACATAAATAAAGCCGGAAGCGTTTCGCCGCTGATGACGATACATTTATTTGGTGTTATTTTTTTTCGTGAAAACTTTCAAACAATGACCCTTTATTGTCGTGTATATGTTCGTGTTCTACTAAGGCGTAAAGGGGTTGTACATGTCAAAAATGCCAAAAAAATTTGAATTCGACGACGATCTTTTTCCTGTTTATGTATATGTATATATGAGAGTAAACATATAATAGTGCGCATATTCGTATAAAATAGATGGTTTTTCGTTTATTCACCCTATTAAGTCTATGGTCAATATGTAAAGCCCATACAATATTATTTGACTTTAACTACACGCAATATCAGAATAAATTAACTGTTACTTATCTTTTATATATTAACGATTCGGTTATCTTGATCCTATATTTTTACTTCTATTTTATTATTTTGAACCCTTTTAGTCAATACTTTCAATTATACAAAAAAAAAATTATTGAATTAAATTTGTTTTCTTTTATTTAAAAATAAAGCCCCGGCTTTGTGTATAATATTTCATTTGTTTACTTATATTTAAATTTATTATTATAATTATTATTATTAACTAAGTTAATAATTTTTTATTACAACAACATTTCGAAAGTTCACAGTTTTCAAAAGCGACAAATATTCTGACTGTAGATAAATCGGATAAATGATTTTAATGAATCACAGTAATATTAACATTTTATAGTTATAATAAAATATGTACTACACCAGCACAACAAAAAATAGTCGATTATTATAAAAATTGATTTCAATTTTACAAATTAATTCATTGTGCCATTACGTTTTAAATAGATAATATGTTGAACAGTAATTTGTTATTATAATGAAGTGAAATTAAAATAATAGAGGCAAAATTATGTTTTAACCTTATCAGATTATTTAATAACAGTGATATTGTTTTGCACTACATGGCTACACTGTAAGATGTATGACAACGCAACCTTATCTTTTTCCGGCAATTTTATTTGTTAGATAAGAAATAAATATCCGTTTATAGTGCGTTTTTAATTTTTTCTTCTTACTATACTCGTTCAATTTATTTGATTATTTACTTTCGAATTTAAAATACCTAAAAATGTCTTCTGCCACAGATATATTAAACTTGAATAAAATGGAAGTATTCCAAAACTTGAAGAAACAATTAGAGAAAAGAGGAACTAACTTTTTACAAAATTTGATTGCATTCAAAGACCAAATTTTGTATGTGTGGAATTCTGAAGAATGTTGCTTATATGCTATACTTTTATCTACAGCCCATGAAAAAAATATCAAGTATAAGGTAATTAATGTTATTTGTTAAAAATCGAATAACTGCAATAAAGTAGCTAAAATTTTTCCAATATTAATTATATCATCAAAATTTATGTTTACTTAAATTAAATTAATGTGGCCAACAACTGTTTAATACAATTTATTATGATATATGTATAACAGCTATATTCCTTCTCAATCTTAGAAGTATTCAGTTGCATTATTCACTAACATTTATTTAAATAATATAATGATAGTATGAGTATATTATTATTACACTAAAAAACAAAAAAGTTACCAAATATATTTTCCTAACTTCATATTAAAGAATTTGTACATCTTGAATGAATTAAACATATCTTTGCAAAAGTTTGCTAAGTTCAAGTACAATGATAATTTAACTCAATAAAATTATTTTATAGCTTAAAATGCTCATATAAATTTTATTAAAAAAAAATAATTTTAGGATGGGTAATATACATAAATATTAGTTATTAGCCATTTTGAAAATGTGTAAAACTTTAACTCTAATGAAATATTAAAAAAATACTGTTAAATGTTTTGAACTATTCAATTAGATTGCATTACTATTAATTATATATTTGTTTTAAACTTATTATGTCAATTTAGAATATCAACCTATATTAATTTGATTCTTAAATATAGTATTGAATTTTTTTGTCTATAAACAAAACTATTAACAACTTAAATTGAAAATTATAAATAAATAAATATTATTTTTAAAGTTATAAATTAAAAACTACAATGCATAGCATATCTCAAATGAACTTAAATCCTTTCATGCAAAGTATTCAATTTTATTAGCATAGTGGATATTTGTTTATTGTCATAAAATTTATATATTACTTTTTTAAGTCATAGATAGAATATAATTACTCTGAAAATTCTGACTATCTTTCATCATAGTGACCAAAGCTTTGACGTTTAATTGATTACACAATTAGTATAAACTTTATGAAAACATATATCCTTAAAGTATTTTAGATATTAACATAGATCTTTAATATATTAATAGAGCATAAGAATTTAAAATCATTGAGGTTGTTTTTGTAATCTTAAAGTGATAAGAATTTGAGACTGCTTGTTTACATAGGTTGTAGCTAAATAATTTTGTAAAAAACTGTCTCATTTCATTATTATTATGTAAATCTAGATGCTTTATTGATTAGATTATGTTTTATGTGTGTTTTTTTAAATATATTTATCAAATGCACATTTTTTAGAATACACTATAATTTTAATAACATTTCATTCAAAATAATTAGTTAAATTATTTCATTTTTGTTATTTCAAGGCCCTACCTTTTTAAGTATTTCTCTTATAGAGAAACCTATATGTTCTTGACTATCAAACAATGATGATTAATTAAGCTTGAAAGTATATTTAAAAATAACTGAAAAGTTTAAATAATTGTTTGAAAGTTAAAATTTTTTTAATTTTAACTAGTTATAAGATTTATATATTAGGTAATATGTCTTTGATTTTGTAGAAAAAATAAACATTTTTATTCTACGATTTAATTATTTTTTGAAAACAGTAGTTTGCTTTTTATTGCATACCTTATTACAGCAAAGTCAATTAAAGATCAATTCTAATAAAATAATCATCCACAAATATAAAAAATGTTCCATTATAAGTATACATAAAAAATTTTTTTTAGTAGGAACACAAATAATTAATAAGCTTATTTGTTTTATAATGATCTAAATGTAACAATAAACAAGGTACTGGTAGATAACAACTATGAAAACAGTATTTCAGATGTTTAACAATTTAAAGTTATGTATGAAGGTGTGCATAGAGTTTTGTGATTTTTTCACTAGACAATTACATGCGCTCTCCTACATCCGACTAGGTATAAACATATTAATTATTTCCAAAATACTAGTTCAAAATTTATTATTCTCTAACTATTTTCTTAATTAGATAATTATGTAATAAATAAGTTAATTAATAATATTTTTCCATTAAAAAGAATAAAGTTGCTACTCTTATAAGATATAAAAGATGAATATAAAAAATTCTTCATAATAGGTAAATTGAAAAAACATGTAAATAATTGAAACTAAAAAAAAAAATTTACATAGATATTATTATTTGTTGACTAATTAAGTGATTCACAATATTAGAATCATTCTATATACTTGTGTAGTCCTTATGTAGGAAACTTAAGAAATTGTATGCCAGGTACCCAAATTCAATGTATAGAAACGAAATCTTTTATAAATTTTGAGGATTATACTTTAACCTCATGTGCCTCGTATTTAAAAATTGTGAAAAAAATTATAAAACCAAATTTATCAATAAATAATGACTTGTAAAAAAATGATAAAATTGTAATTTCTTGAGGATCTAAGCATTGAAAAATTTTAAAAAGCTTTTTATTTATATTTTTATATTTTAACTATTGTTTTTTATACATATTTTTTTTATAGAAATCTTTTCTATTAGTCATTTTTTTTTTAAATTTTTTATAAACATTATCTAAAGTTGATAGAAACCCAAAGTTATTGTTCAGAATTAATGTCAAAACAGTATTTTAAACACATCATATAAATTTACAAATCGCAATGGCATTTTAAAATTATTGAAATGTTGTTGCAAATTATAAAATTTGTTTAAAATATTCTAATATTATGTATATTGACACACATAAACCTAATGTTTGTCTAGTCATTTGTTAATTATAAATACTATAATATTATAGTATTTAAAATAAATTATTTTGCTATAGCTATGTCGTGAGTATTGTTATAATTTTATAATAAGAATTGATCCTTGTGGCTGATTGGTTGGGTTATTTAAAATCAAAAATATATTTAAAACTAAAAAATATTTAACTCAAAATTATATTGTTTAAAAATATTTGATTGTTGAAAAATAGATATAATAAGTAAATGACACTATTTTTTTTTAAATGAAGATTTTTTTCGCGTCTCATAAGAGCTTTTTGCTAACCAAAGGTTAAGAAACGTTGCGTTAAATTATTAAGACATTTATAGTTTAATAATTATAATTGTTATGACATTAGGTAATTAAAACTTTCATCGAGTTTATTCACTTTTAGTTGTTAACCATAATTTTAAATATAATCGGTTATTTATTTCTGATTCTGTTAATTTCCCTATTCATTCATTAAATACTAGGTCGTAAACATTTTTTTTTTAGTACTATTCTATTAAAATTTATTATTATTTATAGTGGTGCTGTATAATGTAAAGACTTTTTTTTGCAAAAAGCTAAGTAAGTACCATTTGGCGTTGATTTCTCCGTCGTTTTTCCACTGTTTCCGTTTAACGGTCATAAATCGGCATGAAATATAAGTTCCTTTTCGGATTCTCGCAATATAAACACGAAACGTGAACAAACGACAATCGTAGACGTGAAGGGGCATGAGACTTCCCGCGATACTGTTGTCTGTGAGACACTACAGGACTAAGGGGTTTTAACTTAACAATTATCATAAATATAAACAGTCCTTCGAACTTCCCTTGGTGGCGACAACGATGAAGACCAAAGACGAGGTTTATCTTCGCGAATCTATTGTGTTGAGTTTGTGTTTTCGTTGTTGTGTGTGTTTATTTGTGTACACGCGCGCGCGTGCTAAAGTAGAAGTGTAGGAAAAATGAAATAATAAATTGTCATTATCGCCCTCCAATTGTTCCTTATACAATATTATTATGTGTAATTATGTATATAAGTCCACCGTCGTTTTAGTGTCTCACCATGACCTCATCCTTTTCCTTTTCCTGTCAGTGGTTACCGCCTTTAGGGTAAACCGCTGGTATCATTCGTCGAGAGAAGCATCTACGTCCTGTTGAATTATCGTTTATTACAATGCTGTTCTTATTTTCACAAAATGGATATATTTATGGTAATAAACGCCATAGGGTTAAAGCTCCTTAAGAGAATATTTCCTCTGCATTTCCTATTCCACTTTTATTCTTATATTTTTAGTTAGTAACTTTTATTGAAAATAAAAAGTTAATGGTTCGACATTAAATAACATGTTTTTAATAGTTTCCTATAAGATTCAGAACTCTGAATATAATGTTAATACTACTATTTTAGATCATCAATGCAGATGACTTTTACCGCATTGTCATTTATTAATTAAAATTGTTTTAGAATTTAATTTATCTTTCTTATGACAAAATTTGTTTGATAATTTTTTGACTTCTGTTCTTTCCTTAATAATTATTATGATATATTATTATCATACGGTAGAATATTTTGCAAAAAAAAAATTTTATCTGAAATGATCTAAAAAAAAAAATAAAAAATATCTATTTTATTCGTTCATGTTTCATCATAGCTTTCGATCCATTTGGTTTACCGTACTAAAAACCAAAGTCTTTAAATTTACACGCTACATTAGTGTTTTGTTGTATATATTCACTTTGCCCCTTCCTCTTATACTTCTTTTTATTGTTATTTTAATCCTGAGTGCTGTTTTGAAGACTGATGTTTATCATGCACATTTTTAAAACGCGAAGTATTGTCGAACCCCAACTGGGTTTGAGTTTAATGAACGTTGAATTTTTTAAAAATAAATGAATGATATAGACGTATAGACGTTGACGGTTTGAGATTAAATCGACCTCGAGTATTGAACATTTTTTAGGAATAAAAGTATAGGGCGTGTCCAGATATTATATTACAATTTCATATCAGAAATAATCGTATTAGCTTAATTAAAAATACAAAATGTGTGTATAGTAAAAAAAAGTTGACATACACCCGTCATTCTAAATATGATCGGTAATTATCGTTATTACTTTTTGTGTTATGGTAATAAAATGAATATCGTTTTAGAAAAAGCAAAAAAAGTAATGTCAAAACCGTAAGACCACACCCTTTTTTTCGGGTCATTAGAATATTAGGCAATGTGTAAGTTGTATGTGATGTTCATATATGAACAACAGTGATAAATAAAATATTAATGACGTGAGTGATGGACGTGCAAAATGAAACTGCAGTTTGGGTCCTGTTTGCGTATAGTAATCG